TTAGGCTCAGCAGGTATCTGGCTTAGCAGGTAAGGGAAATGTGGCCAAGCTGGGAACCTGAGTTCTCAGAACCTGATGGTGGAAGAAGAGAACAGAGTCCTGCAAAGTTGTCCTCAGACCTCCATATGCGCATTGTAGCATGTGTGTGCGTGCATACACACACACACACACACACAATAAATAAATGTAAAAAAAACCCCACTAATTTTGGGACTAGAGAAATGGCTCAGTGGCTCAGTTTGATTCCCAGCACCCACACAGCGGCTAACAACCATCCATAACTCTAGTTCCAGGGAATCCAATGCCCTCTTCTGACCTCCGTGAACATTACATGGCATGGATGTATTTATATACATGCAGGCAAAACACTCATACACATAAAATAAAAATAAGTATTTTTTCAAAATTAAAAAATAATTTTTATATTTTAGATGTACTGTAGGCAGTGCTATCTTTTCTTGATTTCCCCGTGAAAACAGGAAAGGACACATTAAAGAACACATGTTCCTCCAAACTATTTTCTCCCCAGTCCCTAATTACAAGGGACTGAGGATGCATATAAGCTCGGAAGTCGCTGAGGTCACAGAGCCTGGCTTCTCACTGTTCTCCTTTCTCTAGACACCGGTTAGAAATTATGACAACCGTAATTTAAAATTCTTTGTTAGAATGAGAGCAAAGAGAAACAGTGTAACAGTAACACGGTCACTTTTTCCAGTGCTGAGGGTGGAATCCTAGCTCTAACCCACTGAGGCACACACCCCCATCCCTATAATCACTCTTTTTTTTTTTTTTTTTTTTTTGAGACAGTTTCTCTGTAGCCTCAGCTCACCTGGAACTAACTTGCTATGTAGACCAGGCTGGCCTCAATCACAGAAATATCTCCCTGCCTCTGCCTCCCAAGTTCTGGGATTAAAAGTATGTACCACCAAGCCCGGCAATCACTTTTTTAAGGTTTTGGGTTTTTTTAATTTTATTTATTTTATTTTTTTATTATTTTTATTTTATGTGTATGCATGTATTGCCTGCATGTAGGTAAGTGCACCTGTGTCGTGCAATGCCCTCAGAGGTCAGAAGAAGCCCTCTGAGACTAGAGTTACAGATAGTTGTTAGCTGCCATGTGGGTGCTGGGATTTGAACCTGGGTCTTCTGCAAAAACAACCATTTTTTTTTTGCCCTGGCAATCACTTTAAAAAAAAAAAAAAAAACTTTAAAAAATTACTTTATTTTGCTGGGCTTGGTGGCGCACGCCTTTAATCCCAGCACTCGGGAGGCAGAGGCAGGCGGATCTCTGTTAGTTCAAGACCAGCCTGGTCTAAGTAGTGAGTTCCAAGACAGCTGGAGCTACAGGGAGACCCTGTCTCAAAAAGACCAAAAAAAAAAAAAATTTTTTTTTTTAAATTATATGTGTATGTGTGTGTCTGTGTGTGGGTATGTGCACACGAATGCAGGTGTTTGAGGAGGCCAGAAGAGGGTTTTGGATTCCCTGGAGCTAGAGTTACAGGCAGTTGTAAGCAGCTCACCATGAATGCTAGAAACCAAACCTGGGTCTTCTAGAAGAGCAACAGGTACTCTTAACTGCTGAGCCATCTTTTCAGTGCCCTCATACTCATTCTTAACAAGTTATTTTACCAAGGAATAGTGTGCTCAGGAAAGTTTAGATTGGCAGCTACAACTTGAACAAAAGGATACTTTTATGGACAAAGATGAGATTAGTTTGGCCCAGTTGGAGAGCAGTCACCATTGCTGTTTTCTCATCCAGTGAAGCTACTTTCCCAGAAAAAAAACCATTATGTACATCTCTGTGGTCTTGTAATTCCAATGTATAATGTTCCAGGGGAAATTTCACCTCTGTAAGACATGAAAGGCAGACACATGTAACAACAGCAGCCACTCCAGGGGATGACAGTGCTCCACTGGATTGTATGGAGGAAGATGGAGCAGCAGACCTCAAACAAAACGTAAGACCCATGTCTAATTCTTTCTTCACAGTGATGAATCTGCATAGTCACCGAAGGGAATACTCTATGAGCTGACTATTGGTGTGGCTTGTGTTCCTTAAACTAGTGCATTGTGGGTGTGGTGGTGTACACTTCCAGCATCTAGCAGGTAGAGGCAGGAGAATTAGGAGTTCAAGGTCAGCCTGGGTTATATAGGAAGTTTGAAACCAGCCTGAGAGAAAAGCAAATTAGTGAACTGAACTGAGGAAGGATCACCATTAGTTAAGTATGATGGCTGATCAATTTGATTGGCTCTGGATCAACTAACACATGAGGGACTTTCTTGATCAGATTATTTGAAGCCAAAAGACTCCCTCTAAACGTGGGTGGCACCTTCTGGTGGTAACTCAGATAAGAGGGTGTGGCAGAGGGGGCTTTTGCTTTGTGCCTGTTGGCCTTCACGCTCACCCAGCCTGTTGTTAGCTTCTTTCACCCATACTAGAACCAACCTTTTTCATTTCAAATGTCAGCTGAAGACCAGCAGCTCTCCAGGAGTCCTCCAAGCCTTCAGTGCCAGACTGGGCCTACTGAGACATCCAGCCTCGTGGACTGAGCAACTACCAGATTCTCAGCCTCTTCAGTGTGAGACAGTCATTGTTGGACTACACAGACCCTAAACTTTAAGCTAATCTAGTAAATCGCCTTTAATATATATAATATATAAGTATATATTTTAAAATAGATGTGTTCATATATTAATTTTATCAGTTCTGTTCCTCTAGAGAATCTAACTAATACAGTAAGTATGAAAAGGAGTAAGCTAACAGAGCCCACTCATAGTTTATTAATTTAATGGACCACAGACTATCAAAAGCTTAGCTAATGAACTGAGTTTATGAAGAAACAACTTTTGCAAAGATCACTGCAATGATCATTCTAGTCCCTTCTGGTAAACTGTTTCTACTTGCCAAATATAAGCTGGTAATGTTTTGGTTGTTATCTTAACAGTGAAGGGTGAACACAGATGCCTATAGCCCCTGAAGCTAAGTGTCATTAACTAAGCTAACTACATTATTAAGTTGTTGGAGCCAAGGGAACTTCAGATATTTCAAAGCATCTGAAACTCTAAGGAACCCTTTTCATATGTATTGTGAGCTCCTTCCTTTGTTACCAGCAGAAAGGATTTAAGAAATTCGAGTGAGAGGAAAAGATAGGTCACCTTACCTGTCATTCGTCCCTGAACCATTTTTGCAACTTGGTATTTAATATAGGCTCCTACTAAGACATAAACATCATGGGATGGTATAAGAAATACATTTTCCAAAACAAGCAGTCGTATCAATGCCGCTGGTACTTTCTAAAGGAGGAAAAAAAAATTCCATAGGCAAAAAGCTTCAAAGTTGTCTTTCTTGTTAAAAATCTACATTTTATAAGTAAAAAAATTTCTTTACAAACTGGGCGTGGCAGTTCACACCTTTAATCCCAGCACTTAGAAGGCAGAAGCAGGTGGATTTCTGTGAGATCAAGGCCAGCCTATTCTACATAGTGAGCTCAAGGCCAGATGGAGCTATAGACCCTGTCTCAAAAAAAAAACACAAAAATTGTGTGTGTGAGAGAGAGAGAGAGAGAGAGAGAGAGAAAGAAAGAAAGAAAGAAAGAAAGAGAAATAGCACTGCCTCTGCTTCAGGCATGCTGGGATTAAAGGTGTGACCACCATACTGATTCTTATGGAAATTTACCAACCTTAGGTGGCCAGGCTGCTCACTAGGATGCCTGCATGCTTATACTCCAGCCATGTGAATCAAATGCTTCTCAAAGACATTAGTTTTTCCCAAATGTATTTATGTCAGCTGTAATTGTGAATATATTACAACAAGAAGCTGGATGTGATACCACAGTCTGCATTTCCAGCACTTAGGAAGCTGAGATAGGAGGATCAGGAGTTTGAGGCCAGCCTGGGCTATATGTGCATCCCAGGCCAGCCTGGGCTGCCATGTCTCAAAAAGACAAAATAGTGCTGGGCGATGGCTCGATCAATAAAGTGCTTGCAGCACAAGAGTGAGGCCAGTCCCTAGGACCCATGCAAAAAGCATAGCATGGTAGTGTCCATTTGTAATCCCGGTGCTGGAGACATGAAGACAGGTGGCTCCCTGAGGCACACTGGCCACCCAGCCTAACCTAATCAGTAAGCCTCTGGTCCCAGTGAGACACTCTGTCTCAAAAAGGTGGATGGCTCCTGAAGAGCACCCAAGGTTGCACCTCTGGCCTTCACACATACATGTACACACATACACACACCTGAACATACACTCCACATACCAGAAAGCCCCCCCATCAGAATAAATAAATTAAATAAAGAAATAGAACAGGATTGAGGGTATAACAATGGTAGGGTGTATGTCTGTCACATCAGCACTAGGGTGGCTGAGGCCAGAGGATCACTCTAAGTCTGAGACCACAATGAATTCCGGGCTAGTCTGGGCTACAAAGTAAGGCCTTGCCTCAAAACAAAAGCAGGGGCTGGAAGATTGCCTGCTTGGTGTTTGCTGTGCAAGCATAAGGATCTGAGTTCTGTCCTCAGCATCCATGTAAAAAAGCTGGACACAGTGCTATATCCCTATAATTTCAGAGCTGGGGAGGTAAAGACAGGAAATTCTCCAGAGCTTGCTGGCCAGCCAGTATAGCCAACTTGGTAAGCTTTAGGCTCAGTGAGAAACCCTGTCTCAAAAAATAAAGGGGACTAGAGTGATGGCTCAGTGGTTAAGAGCACTAGCTACTCTTGCAGAGGACCTGGGTTTGGTTCATGGCGGCTAACAACTATCCATAACTGCAGTTCCAGGGGATCTGATGCTCTCTTCTGGCCTCCTTGGGTACTGCATGCATGAGTTGTACTTAGATATATACAGGCAAAACAATCACACACATAAAATTAAAAAAAAAAAAAAAAAGCTGGGCATGGTGGTGCACGCCTTGATCCTAGCACTCAGGAGGCAGAGGCAGGCAGATCTCTGTGAGTTTGAGACCAGCTTGGTATACATGGCAAGTTCCAAAGCACCTAGACCTATAGGAGACCCTGTCTCAAAAAATATACATATAAATATAAATAAAAATAAGTCAATCACTAAACAAAAGTAGAGAAATGACATCAATCTTTTACCTCCACACACACATGCCTTCACATATGCCCCCCTCCCACCAAAAAACAAAAACAAAATAACAAAAAGATAAGTACATTAAAACAAAAACTATGGATGCAAAAAGAGGTTTATTGAGGCTGATGAGATGGTTCAGTGGGTAAAGGCTTCTACCATTCAACTCTGCTGACCTGAGTTCAATCCCTGGAACCCACATAAAGGTAGAAAGAGAAAACTGACTCTCAAAGCTGTCTTCTGAACTCCACATGCATGCTAGGGCATACAAGCCCACATATACACATCATCCATACATACCCAGTAATAAAAATAAATCAGTGTTAATGTACATTTGTACTAAATGTGTTTAGAAAACTTGGATACAAAATATTACTAGTGGGGTTCAGTTGGGGTGCGCTGGTGGGAGCTGGGTTGGTACAGGGAAAAATTAAAACAAAATCCTTTTTAAAGATTTATTTTATTTATGTATTTTGATTATGTGTATGTCTGTGTATATCTGTGTGTGGGTAGGTGCACATGTCTATGGTGGCCAGAGTCTTCGAATGCCCCTCGAGCTAGAGTTTCAGGCAGTGTGAACCACCAAATGTGGGCGCTAGGAACCCAGGTCCTCTACAAGAGCAGTAAGCGCTCTTAACCACTGAGCTATCTCTTGAGCCTCAAAATAACTTTTTTAAAAAATAGGGGCTGGAGAGGTGGTTCAGCATTTAAGAGTGCTGGTTGCAGAGGATCCAGGCTCAATTCACAGCACCTACATGGTGACTAACAACAGTTCATAACTCCACTTCCAGGGGATCTGACACCTTCTTCTGACCTCTATAGGCACTGCAGCACAAGGGTGCACTTACACACATGACAGGCAATACACTCATACACACAAAAAAAATAAGAAAAGTCATTGACTTACATAGAACTGGTGAATAAAATACAATTAGACGTTTTATTTATTAATCATTATTATTGTGAGTGTATGTTGAGGGAGTGCTATGGTATACATGGGGTCAGAGGGAAACTCTGTGGACTCGGTTCTCTCCTTCTGCCTTTACTCCTGAGATCAAACTCAGGCCATCAGATTTGCATCACCTTTACCCTGAGCCATCTCACTAGGTCCTCAGTTAGACATAAGATAGAATGCATACATGGGGAGATAGCTCAGTGGTAGAGCACTTGTCTGGCATGAGGAAGGCCCTGGATTTGGTCTTCAGTGTTTCAAAGAGCAAGAGAAAGGGGAAAAAGCAAAAATACTAGTCATGTTTCCCATTACAATTATACAGCAACTTATACAGCATTAGTAGTCCTGTAAAATATTTGCGTAAGGAAGGCGAATGCCGTCTATGCTTAGTCACTTGAAATGGATTTTCAAGTAACTGATGAACTCTTGGCCCAAATAATATCCAGTTAGAGGGTTTGATTTTCATAGGCAAGGCTATTAAAGTACGTAGTACAAACTTTTTACCTTATAGAACAGCTCATAAATCTGGACTTTTACAACAGCAGCACCGGTTCTAATCCCAGACACCAAAATCATGTCCCCTTGTTTCTCTTCTTTTTCCATCTCAGCTATATGGACTGGGGGAGAATACTCTGCTTCCGAGTACTTCAGAATCCTGAAGATGCAAAATAAGATGCTTCTAGTAGAATTAAACAATGTCTTCTAAAAGTCTAGAAGAGACCTTAGTGTCTATAATGTCTATACGATTTAGACAGTTCTACGCTTGCCTTTTTTTCCCCACCAGGTCTTCTGTAGCTCCAGTTACCCTGGAAGTCACTGTGTAGACCAGGCTGCCCTCGATCTCACAGAGATCAACCTGCCTCTGCCTCCCAAGTCCTGGGATTTAAAGGCATTTGCCACCATTCCTGGTGTTGTTTGTTTGCTTTTTTGAGACAAACTTTCATGTAATGCAGGCTAGCCTCTAACTTGAACTTGTTATGAAGCAGAGGCTTACTTTGAACTTCCTACTTAAGCCTTCCCAGTGCTGGGATTATAGTTACATGCTGCCACACCTGGTTTGAGTTTTAAAGTTTTAAAGTTTCTGATTTTTACAAGGATTAGCCTGTAGCTAAAACTGTTGAGGAACTAAAATTTAGGTTGTCTGAGATCTAGTCCTTGGTACCGAAAACAGAATCTTGCCATATCATCCTACTTACTCTATTTCAGCATGTGCAGATAGCTTGAGCTCAGATTATAAACTCATAAACATATTTACATTTATCACCCATGTCATTCTAGCAAAGAGGTTTTCCCTGGAGAATTATTTTTAAAAAAATCCAGCTGGGCGTGGTGGCACACACCTTTAATCCCAGCACTCGGGAGGCAGAGGCAGGTGGATCTCTGGTCTCCATAGCAAATCCAGGCCAACTAGGGCTACAGGGAGACCCTGTCTCAAGACCAAAAAAAAAAAAAAAAAATCCAAAAGAATTATGAAAGTCCACACAAATAGCCTCTGTCTGCTTATGGTATGTCTTCTTCAAAACCAGGTGATTTGTTTTTGGTTTCAAGTTTACCTGATTTTGCTAGATGGTTCTTCTTTTGCTGAGTCGTTATCCTGGGCAATGCTCCACTCAAACACCATCCCTGCCAAGCTGCTAAAAGTATTTCCTGTAGAGCAATCCAAAAGCAGTCAAGATGGAACCACATATTCAAAAATACTCAGCTATATTCAGAAAGAGGGAGCACTCACTAGAAAATTATTTTAGGTCGTTTGGCAACAAACAATAGCACTACTATTAATGAATTAAAACATACATGAAGATTGCCGGGCATGGTGGCGCATGCCTTTAATCCCAGCACTGGGGAGGCAGAGGCAGGCAGATTTCTGTGAGTTCAAGGCCAGCCTGGTCTACATAGTGAGTTCTAGGACAGCTGGGGCTACAGGGAGACCCTGTCTCAAAAACACCAAAACAAAACCAAAAACCATATATGAAGTAGATCCATACACAATGTAAATGCTGTCCCCGCACAAACTTTCTAAAGTAAAAGCTGAAAAAACTGTGCCACCATCTTTCTGTTCCTTTCTACAGAAAGGCCACCTTACTTCCACTGCATCTACTTTATGGTTAACAGCCATACCAGCCCAACACAATTTTTTTTTTTCATTTTCTTGAGACAGGGTCTCCTTGTAGCCCCAGCTGGCCTGGAACTCACTATGTAGACCAGGCTGGCCTTGAACTCACAGAGATCCACCTGCCTCTGCCTCCCAAGTGCTGGGATTAAAGGCATGCACCACCACGCCCGGTATCTTTTTAGATCTTAAAAATCACTCTTGGGATGGGGAGATAGATGATTCGGTGGGTAAAGGTGCTGTCTGAGCAAATCTGATCACCTGAGCTTGATCTCCAGAATTTATTTAAAGGTAGAAGGAGAGAACTGACTCCACAAAGCTGTCCTCTGAGCTCCACAGGTGTGCTGTAGTGTGCCTGAGTGTCAGATTCCTGGGAACTAGAGTTACAGATGGGTGTGAGCTGCTATGTGGGTCCTGGGAATTGAACCTGGGTCCTCTGTAAGAGCAGAGCTATGGTGTGTGTGGCACAGTGGAAGAACATGTGCTGTTTAGCATGCAGGAAGGCCTGGGCTCAGTCTCCAATACAAAAACAGACACAAATCAAAAACAAAAGCAGTGCTAGCAATATATTCCAAAATATGTTCTTAAATGTTGATCTAGGAACCACTGCTATAAATTCAGCAGCAGAATTTCACTGCTTAAAAGTTTGGGGCTGGAGAAAAGGCTCAGTGGTTAAGAGCACTGGCTGCTCTTTCAGAGGACCCAGGTTTGATTTCCAGCACCCACATGGTAGCTAACAACCCTCTGCAACTCCAGTTCCAGGGGATCAAACTCCCTCTTTTGACCTCTGTTGGCATTACAGGACATGGGTTCACTTACATACATGAAGGCAAAACACTCATACATATAAAATAAAAAAAATAAGTTGAGGGTCAGTGAAATGACTCAGTATGCAAAGGAGCCTGTCCCCAAGGCTGAGGACCTGGGTTTGATCTCTGGGACCCACATGGTGGAAGAAGAGAGCTGTTACACACACAGACCCAACCCTAACCCTATACACACTTTTTTTTTTAGAGTTCAGAAATAACAAAATAATTAATAGCAAGAAATTTTATGTGCGGCTAGAGAGATGGCTCAGCAGTTAAGAACACTGGCTGCTCTTGCAGAAGACCCAGGTTTGATTCCCAGCACCCACATGGCAGCTAACAACCATCCATAATACCAGTTCCAGGGAATATGATGCCATTTTTGGCCTCTCTAGACATTGCATGACATAGGTACACTTACATACATGCAGGCAAAACACTCAACACATAAAATAAACCACATAAAAATTTTTTTGGTCTTTTTGAGACAGGGTCTCCCTGTAACCCCAGCTGGCCTGGATCTCCCTATGTAGACCAGGCTGGCTTCAAATTCACAGAGATCCACCTGCCTCTGCCTCCTAAGTGCTGGGATTAAAGGTATGTGCCACCACACTCAACTAAAAACAATTTTTAATAAGTAAATTAAAAAGGAAACTTTATGGAATAATATAGTCAATGTGCTGAACTCAGCATTGCTAACCACTCATCTGCATGAGCCCCAAATGAGAAGACAAGCTATATTTACAATCTGCTTTTTATCACTCAAGTTCTTGCTTTCCAGAGCCCAACACGGAAGTTTATTGTAGGTCAATTTCTGTACAATCCTCTCAGGTCCTTACCTTTAGCATCCAGTGCACGCACCATCAGCGCCAGAGGTGCATCATCAACATAGAGCTCTTGGGTGCGGGACATGATCTCAATACTATCTATCACATCAACCTTAACATCACAGCGAAGTTCATGGTCAGTCACTACAACAAAGCAAAAAGCTGAGTGTTTAATTAAACAAGACACTAACCTGTTAGAAATCTAGTAAGTGCTACTGAAAAGAGTTTTTTTGTTGTTTGTCATCTTTTTGAGACAGGGTCTCCCTGTAGCCCCAGCTGACCTGGAAAAAAGTATTTTTTTTAATTAAAGTTTATTAGTACTTACAAAAAAACTACTTTAAAATATTTATTTAGGGAACTGGAGAGATGTTTGCAGTTAAGAGCATGTACAGCTCTTCCAAACACCTGGGTTAGTTCCCAAGCACCCACACGATAGCTCACAGCCATCCTTAACTCCAGTTCCAAGGAATCCAATGCCCTCCTCTGGTCTCTGCAGGCACTGCATGACACATGTAAGGTGCACTCACATACATGTAGGCAAAAATACTCACATAAAATAAAATTTTTTAAAAAATATTTTATTATTTTTATTTTATGTGTATGAGTGTATTGCCTGCATGTATGTGAGCGCACCCGTGTCATGCAATGCCGAGGAGGTCAGAAGGCCCATGTCACGAGATGCCTGAAGAGGTCAGAAGAAGACGTCAGATCCCCTGGAACTGGAGTTATGGACGGTTCATAGCTGCCATGCGGGTGCTGGGAATCAAACCCAGGTCCTCTGCAAGAGCAGTCAGTGCTCTTAACCTCTGAGCCATCTCTCCAGCCCCATAAAATAAAATTTTAATTTAGCTAGACATAGCGGTTCAAGCCTTTAATACAAGCACTTGGAAGGAAGAAGTAGATGGAGCTCTATGAGATCAAGGCCAGCCTGGTCTATGGAGCAAGTTCCAGGCCAGCTGGGGCTGTAGGGACAGCCTGGCTCAACACAAACAACAATGAAAATTAATTTAATTAAAAATGTTTTAAGTATTTATTTAGAAAAGTAAAATGGTGGCAACTGTATCAACTATACTAATAGACCTCTAATTTTTGTGTGTATGCATGCATGCAGCACACGCATGGAGAGAGGTCAGAGGAAGCTTGCAGGAGTAGGTTCTCACCTTCTTCCATGTGGTCCCAGGAATTGAACTCAGATTGTCAGGCTTGGCAGCAAGTGCCTTTACCCACTGAGCCACCTCCTCAGCACTATAATTTTTGCTCTTGGACCATGACTCTGGGGATAGAGAGATGGCTCAGTGTTTAAGAACATTTGTTGTTCCTCCAGAGGATCCAGGTTTGATTTCCAGCACCCACATGTTGGCCAACTATGGTCCATAACTCAAGTTCCAGGGGACCCTCTTCTGGCCTCTTCAGGCACTGCACACATGTGGTGAATTTACATACATGCAGGCAAAACACTCATACATATTAAAAATAAAGAAATAAAAATATATAAAAAGTCCAAGACTGACTATATTAAAACCAACAAAAAAATTTGAGGGCTAGAGAGATGGCTCAGTGGTTAAAAGCACTGACTGCTCTTGCAGAGGACCCGGGTTCAATTTCCAGCACTGACACGGGGGCTAACAACCATCTATAACTCCAGTTCCAGGAGATCCGACACCCTCTCCTGACCTCTGTGGGCATTGCACAATATGGTGCACTTACACACATGCAAGCAATACACTCATACACATAAAATAAAATAATAATTTTTTAAATAAAGTCAATATATGTGCAGTGGAATCCAGAAACACTAATGAAAGTAGCATGAAGTAGGAGTGATGTGCTGTTTTAGACAGGGGGAGTCTCCCTTAGCCCCAGCTGGCCTGGAACTGGCTATGGAGACCAGGCTGGCCCTAATCTCAAGAGATTCACCTGCATCGTCATTTTGTTTTTTGAGATAGAGTCTTGCCACAGAGTCTGGAGTAATTTGTGGTCCTCCTGCCTCTACCTTCTGAGTGCTGGGATTATAGGTTGTGCTACAATGCCTGGTAAAATATTATTTCAGAAAATGGTGTCCTTCCTTTTACAAGGGACATTAAGACCTGAATTCATCTGTAATCCCAGCACTCAAGAAGTAGAAGCAGGCAGACCTCATATTAAAGGCCACCCTGAGCCATGTAGCAAGTTCCAGGCCACACTGGTAACATCATATAGTGAGAACCAAGTTCAAAAAATTTTGAATTAGTCATTCTGAAACTGCTTTTTAGGTATGTTAGGGTTGAACAAATAAGATAATACATTATGCCAGGCATGGTGGTGCATGCCTGTAGTCCCAGCACTTGGGAGGCAGAGGCAGGTGGATCTCTGTGAGTTCAAGGCCAACCTGGTCTACATAGTGAGTTCCAGGACAGCTGGGGCTACAGGGAGACCCTGGTTCAAAAAGACAAAAAAAAGATAATACATTATAAATAATGAAGGTCAGGTTTCTGTCTTCTTAATGTATATATATATATATTTTTTTTTATTTTTATTTTTTGTCTTTTTGAGACAGGGTCTCCCTGTGGCCCCAGTGGCCTGGAACTCCCTATGTAGACCAGGCTGGCCTCAAACTCAGAGATCTCTTAAAAATATTTTATTTTTATTATTATTTTTACTCACAAAGATCTGCCTGCCTCTGCCTCCGAAGTGCTGGGATCAAAGGCGTGAGTCACCACGCCCAGCTATTTTTATTATTTTTTAATTTTATTTTAATTGTATGAGTGTACTGCCTGCACTCTGCCTGCACTGTATGAGTGTAAGTACACCCATGTCATGCAGTGCCCTTGGAGGTCAGAAGAGAGTGTCAGATCTCCTGGAACTGGAGTTATGGATGGTTGTTAGCCACCACGTGGGGGCTGGGAACCAAACCTGTGTCCTCTGCAAGAGCAGCCAGTGCTCTTAACCACTGAGCCATCTCTCCAGCCCCATTTCTGTCTTTTAAATTTTTTATTATCTGAGGCTGGGCATGGTGGCAGCAGAGGCAGGTGGATCTCTGTGAGTTCCAGGCCAGCTGGGGCTACAGGGAGACCCTGTCTCAAAAAGACCAAAATTTTTTTTTATTATCTGTGTACATGATAGGTGTGTGTGGGCACACCTGCCATGGCATACATCAGAGCACAACTTTGTGGAGTCAGTTTTCTCTTTCCACCTTGACATGGGTTCTGAGGATGGAACTTAGGTTCTCAGGGTTGGTGACAAGCACCTTTCCCACTGATCCATCTCACTGGCCCCAGGATTTGTTTTTCTGAGAGCAAAGTTACAAATAAACAAAGGAAAGAAGTCTAGAATGAACAGAGTAGTACAGGATTAGAGTTAAAGAGATCACTATGAGTTCCTGCTTAATACATAAACAGCTAGATACATAAGAAGGAAATGTAGCTAGGCATGCACATACGCTGCCAGCACACACGGATACCCATGCACATATGCTAGCACACACAGATAGGCGTGTGCATACACCAGCACACACAGTCTCTTCTTCTTTCTCCTGTGCAGGCCTAGAAGCTGGGACACTTCCAACACAACAGGCACGTGCACAATTCCTTGAAGAAATGGCTAGACTTGGGAATGTAAGCCGAGAGCTGAAAAGGACAGAAGTACCAGGCTGGGGATGTAGCTCGGTTGGTAGAGTGTACAACAAGCATGCAGAAACTCACACAAACCCAGCATGGTGGTGGTGCGCACTTGTAATCCTAACACTAGGGAAGTGGAGACAGGAGGATCAGAAGTTCAAAGTTATGCTTAGCTATATAGCTAGTAATTTCTAGGCCAGACCAGGCTACTTTTGAGAACCTGTCTCAGAACAAAGCAAAACAAAAGTATGGTAAAGGTAGTAGTGCTAGAAATTAATTAATTAGCAACAATGAAGATAAGGGCATATCCAAAGAACACAGGAATCAACCTGACAGATACCTCAATTGGCCAAAGGTGGAAAAACTGAAGTAATAAAAGTCAATATCAAGCTGGGTGTGGTGACAAACACCTTTAATCCCAGCACCCAGGTGGCAGAGGCAGGTGGATCTCTGTGAGTTCAAGCCCAGCCTGGTCTACACAGTGAGTTCTAGACTAGCTGGGGCTACAAGGAGACCCTGTCTCAAAAAGACCCCCCCCCAAATATATCAGTTTCCTTTGTGGTGGTGTAACATACTCCATGACCAAAAGAAACTGAGGGGAGAAGGATTATTTCAGCTTAAAGGTCACAGTCCATCTTGAGAAAGTCAGAGCAAGAACTCACATACAAACGTGAAACAGAAACTGTGGAGAATACTGCTGAGGGGTCTGCTCAAAGACTCAAGGTTGCTTGCCTCCCTATACAGCCCAGGACCACATCCCATAAAAGATTGGTCTGCCTATATCAATTAAAAATGAAGGCAATCCCCCACAGGCCACAGGCCACAGGCCAATCTGAGATTCCCTTCTCATGTGACTCTAGGATGTGTCAAAGTTGTCAGTTAAAGCTAATTAGGAGGCAAAGAGCTGGATTATAACTGTCCCTCTCTAAATAGCCATGAGTCCATACTGATATAACTGAGTAATTTATTAAATGGGAAGAAGTTATTTCGTTGTTTTTTTTTTCTTTCTTTCTTTCATTTTTTGGTGTTTTTGAGGCAGGGTCTGCCTATAGCCCCAGGTGGCCTGGAATTCACTATGTAAACCAGGCTGACCTTGAACTCAGAGATTCCCCAGCCTCTGCCTCCTGAGTGCTGGGATTAAAGGCAGGCACCACCATGCTTGGCTAGAGAAGAAGTTATTTGTAAGATGTAAGACATCTTTCTTTCAGAATACTTAAGACACTAAATAGAGGAAAAATGCAGGAAAAGAGAAAATAACCATCTGAACCCCACAGTCATAAGATTCATGGAAGACAGGTGTGGTGACACACATCTGTCACCCTGGCACTCGGGAGGTAGAGGTGGAAGGATTGCCACAAGTTCCAGGCCAGCCTGGGCTGCATAGTGAGATGATCCTGCTTCAAAAACCGAACAGCTGGGCATAGTGGCGCATGCCTTTAATCCCAGCACTTGGGAGGCAGAGGCAGGCAGATCTCTGTGAGTTCAAGGCCAGCCTGGTCTACATAGCAAGTTCCAGGTCAGCTGGGGCTACAGGGAGACCCTGTCTCAAAAAGACCAAAAAAAAAAAAAAAAAAAAAACCCAAACAGATTCATGGATAGGTGTTAAAATTATTGGAAACTTTAAGGAGTGTTGCAATATATGAAAATACAGCCCCCCAATTCTTTCACACTCCTCCCAGAAAGGTGAAGCTTAGACCTTTCTCCTTTGTATGTGAGCTGGATCATTTTAATAACCGTAGCTAGGAAGGGGAAATGGGATCTTCATGGACAGTCAGCACCTTAACCAAGTGATCAATGTTAACATTGCCACTGATAAACTGTGTTAACATCACATACCCCCCACATAATGCAAGGAGAGAGCTCTTCACCTCCGAGTCCCTCCAAAATCTATAACCCTGGACTAATCATGAAAACTATCAGACAAACCCAAATAGAGGGACACCTGAACAACACAACTTATTTGCGCACACATGTGCGTGCGTGTGTGTGTGTGTGTGTGTGTATGTGTTTGTTTTCAGTACTGGGAACTGAACCTAGGCCTCACAAGTACTCTGCCCCTCAGCTACATCCCCAGCACTCTTTTGTTGTTTGCTTGTTTGGATTTGTTGTTGTTGATTGGAGACAGGGTCCCACTATGTAGTACTGGCTGGACTGGAACTCACTCTGTAGACCAGGCTGGCCTCGAACTCTAAAACCAAAAAAATCTAATTCCAATACTCATGAGGCAAAGACAGGCAAATCTCTGTCAGTTCAAGGCCAGTTGGTTTACATAAGTGAGACCCTGTGACATTATGACATTAATTTTTTTTTTTTTGGTCTTTTTGAGACAGGGTCTCCCCCTGTAGCCCCAGCTGGCCTGGAACTCACAGAAATCCTCCTGCCTCTGCCTCCTGAGTGCTGAAGGAGTGTGCCACCATGCCCGGCCATGACATTAAATTTATTTATTTATTATTTATTTATTTATTTATTTATTTATTTATTCATTCATTCATTCATTCATTCTTTGGTCATTTTGAGACTGTAGCCCCCAGCTGGCCTGGAACTATGTAGACCAGGCTGGCCTCAAACTCATAAGAGATCTGCCTGCCTCTGCCTCCTGAGTGTTGGGATTAAAGGAAATGTACCATCACGCCTGGAGACATTACTTAAATGTATTTATTCGTTTTACTTATTTATTTAATGTGTGCACACATGTAGCACAGTGCACATGTGGAGGTCAGAGGACAACTTGCAGGAGTCAATTCTCTCCTACCACATGGATTCCTCAAATCCAACTCCGATTGTCAGACTTAGCAGTGAGAACATTTGTCCACTGACCATCTCACTGACCCCCCAAATTATTATGTATGTATACCCATGTACTTGCAACACCCATGGAGGACAGAAAAGGGCATCGGATCCCATGGAACTAGAGTTAGGGACAGTTGTTAGCTGCCATGTGGGTGCTGGGATTCAAACCTGGGTCTTCTACAAGAACAGCTAGTGTTCTTAACCGATAAGCCATCTCTCCAGGCCCTAAAACTATTTGTTTTAATCATTTTTAAAGATTTGTTTATTTTGGGGGCTGGAAAGTTGGCTCAGCAGTTAAGAGCACTAATGCTCTTGCAGAGTACCCAGGTTTGATTCCCAGCATCCACATGGCAGCTAACAACCATTCTAACTCCAGTTCCAGGGGATTTGATGCCATCTTCTGACCTCCCTGGGCACCGCACAACATGGATGCCCTTATATAAATGCAGGAAATACACTCACACACATAAATCTTTTAAAGAAATACTTATTTTTGTTTTATTTCTGAGCTGGAGAGATGGCTCAGTGGTTAAGAACACTGATTTTTCTTGCAGAAGACCCAGGTTCAAATCCCAGCACCCACATGGCAGCTAACAACTGTCTATAACTCCAGTTCCAGGGGATCTGACAGCCTCGTCTGTCCTCCACAAGCATTGCACGACATGGGCCCATTTACCTACACGCAGGCAATACACTCATACACATAAAATAAAAATATTTTTTAAAAGATTTATTTCTATTTATATGTGTGTTCTGCCTGTGTGTATATAAATGTACCATGTGTGTGCAATGCCCATGGAGACCAGAAGAGGACATCAGATCCCTTGGAACTGGAGTTAGGGACAATGTTAGCTGCCATGTGGGTGTTGAGAACTGAACCTGGGTCCTCTGCAAAAGCAGCCAGGGCTCTGAACGGCTGAGCCATCTCTACAGCACATTTTATCCTATTTATCTCTACCACACCTTATCCTATCCAAAAGTGTTCTACAGTCTTTTCTCTCAACATAGTTATCTCTTGTCAGGTCCGTGGGTGCATGCCTGTAATCTCAGCACTAGGGAAGCTGATGTATGATGATGATGGTACATAGTGTATACCAGGCTAGGCAGGACTATAGCAAGACCCTGTCTCAAAAATACAAAAAGAATCCCATAACATACCTATTTCTCGAGCAAGAATAATACTGCTGAGGCGTATTGGCTGGGTAGATTCAGCAATGAGAACAGCTCTTTGGGAACATAAGGTGCCATTTTCATATAAAGGTTGGACAGTAACTGCATCATGATGGGTGGAATGCCTGCCAGAACAAATACTTAAGAGCATGAAATACGAGGGAAAAAGGCAACAGGTGAAGAAATATGCTCCTTCCATGGTACATACTCCTAGGCACAGTAGCACTGTCAAAGGACACAAGACTTAAAATGCAAGAGACTGATCAGTCCTTTCCTAATGATCTGTTATGCAAAGATCTAAAGTTATATAACCCTTCCCTCCTTTTTTTTTTTTTTTTTTTTTTGTCTTTTTGAGACAGGGTCTTAGCCCCAGCTGTCCTGGAACTCGCTATGTAGACCAGGCTGGCCTCAAACTCACAAAGATCTGCCTGCCTCTGCCTCCCAAGTGCTGGGATTAAAGGCATGCGCCACCACACCTGGCCTCTGCAGGTTGTTTTAAAATAAGACTAATGCTGTGGGAAAATTGCACTGAGGCTGTTTGCAATAAGGCACAGACGTTCCTCATACCTTGAGAAATGATTTCCTCTAAGCCTAGAAATTGGGCTGCTATCTAAGACAGAAAATTTGCCTATATTATGAGTGAATTCAAACAAAAATATAAAACAATCATTAACAGCCGGGCGTGGTGGCCCTTGCCTGTAGTCCCAACACCTGGGAGGAAGAGGCAGGCAGAGGTCTGTGAGTTTCAGGCCAGCCTGATCTACATAGCAAGTGAGTTCCAGGGCAGCTGGGGCTACAGGGAGACCCTGTCTCAAAGACCAAAACAAAACAACTCCCCCCATCATTAGCATTTTGAATGGATGAAATAAACCTTTCAATACTGGATTCTGCATGATAGACATTCAGTTATGAAATACATCACACTGAGTCCTCTACAAGCTCAATTCCCTTCTATGTCCTCATAAAATGAAAGCTGAACTTCTTATATTCTGGAAAAGATCTCACTGCTCCTAAGAGGCAGGGAAGGGGATAGGGGTGGAGCTCAGTAGTAGTGCAAAACCCTGAATCCAATCCTCAGTACTGCAGACAGACAGGAAATGGCTATCTCTTTCACTTAGGATGAATGTTCTGGTATCTCAGAGCTAGCTTTGGTTAGGCTCTCTTAAAATTCAGGCAACCAAATGGCCTGTCATTGGGTTTTCTCACATCAGAAACCCAAGTCTTTTCAGCTCCAGTCACAAGGTCATTATCCCAGACTTGAAATCCCTTAGGGGGCAGGGAGGGGTCATATCACAGGCAAACCTCATCAAATGAAAACAGTATTTGCTTCCTAAGACTGTAGGAAATGGGTTAATACAAAGTGTGTAGTTAAGTACTCTAAAGTTAGCTGTTTTAGAACATCCTCATGTTGAATAGCTTCCTCATGTTGAGGACCTTCTGTTCCTAAACAGGTCTTTCTAGGTCTTTCTGTTCCTAAAGAAACTTCCTAGCGTCTTGGGAACACTGATTTTTGTTGTTGCTCTATGGGTGCTATGTGGCCCAGACCTCCCACCTTATTGGTTACAATAGGTTTCCATTCAAAGTTCCTCAAACTGGGGAAAGTGCCAATACCTGCTAGATCCAACACTGGTCTTCCCTGCGCCCCGGCAGTTCCTTACACTCAGCTGTCTCAACACATCCAACTTAATTTCTTTCTTAAGGTCCCTTATAATTCATCCACCCTGCGAGACCACACGGCCTTCCCTCGAGGAATAGAGGTACCCCTGCCCTCTTTACAGGACGCTGGGCGTATGTAATCTTGGGACCTCCGTCCCCCTCACCAGGTGTAGCATCCCCGCTGCGCCTCCAGGAGGAAGGGCACCCGGCCTGGCTCCCGGCCGAAGGGTAGCAACACTTGTGGCACGTTAAGCTTGTTGGCCAGGGTCCCAATTAAATACAGCAACAGCAAGTGGTGGTGTGGCGCCAGGGAAAAGAGGAGCCCGAAGCTTTGGGGTTGGAAAGCCCCAGAGCCAACCATGGCGACTGCCTGGTCTCAACTTCGCGCTCAATCAAGCTGCCGTACACCAGCGTCAACCAATCCGTAGCCACGACGTCATAAGGAAAGGTGGGAGGGTGGAGTACCTTTATTGCTGGGAATTGTGGGCACTTTCTAAGTCCTTTAGGAAGCCAACCATCTTATGGGAATTTCAGGTTACCGACCCAGCTACCGGCTCAAAGGGCTACTTTTAAAAAAGTATTATTTTTTTTGAGACAGGGTCTCCCTGTAGCCCCAGTTGTCCTGGAACTCACTATGTAGACTAGCCTGGCCTTGAACTCAGAGATCCGCCTGCTTCTGCCTCCCAAGTGCTGGGACTACAGGCGTGTGCCACCACGCCTGGTGTAGTGCCTGCATGTAGGTAAATGTACCCGTGTCATGCAACGCCAGGGAGGTCAGAAGAGGCTGTCAGATCCCCTGGTACTGGAATTTCGGACAGTTGTTAGCTGCCATGTGGGTGCTGGGATTCAAACCTAGGTCTTCTGCAAGAACAACCAGTGTTCTTAACCGCTGAGCCATCTCTCCAGCCCCTCAAAGGGTTACTTTATACTAAATATTCGATTTTATACTTTTTTAAATTGTAATGAACAGGCAAAAATAAATGAAGTCTAAAAACCCAAATAATGTTTCCCATTCAATTCTTTGTTGGCTGGTCTTTTTTTTTCTTCAGACAGGGTCTCCCTGTAGCCCCAGCTGGCCAGGAACCTGCTAAGTAGACCAGGCTGGCCTTGATTTCAAAGAGATCCACCTGTCTCTGCCTCCTGAGTGCTGAGATGAAAGTGTTGAACCACCACACCCAGCTCCAATAGGCAAGTTTTGAACAGTTTTTGTCTGCTTTCAATATATACATTAAATCCTGTTCCTGTCAACCACAAAGACCTAGTTTCAATTCAATCTTTCCAGCTCCTGTGGAGAAAACACATTGATTTAATAAATAAGTCAAATAGCTCTTGAGGATTGGAGGGACTGGTTCTTTATTTCAAAAAAGACACTTGTCAATATTCAGTATCAAAACAGTTGCACTATGGGATTCTTTCTCCCATCTGGCCCCTAAGAGACCACAACAGAGGAGAGTACAAATAAGCCAGTAAGCTGCAGGATGCACACCTCACAGACCCCACATTAACCACTGAAAAATGGCACTGGGTGGGGAAACTTTGATAGATCAGCATACCCCTAGCCCACAGACTGCAAAAAATCCTCACAGCCGACAGGGTGGCCAGGGTAACCAAACCCCGAAAAGCAAAGTTTCAAAATAATACAAAAATTTTAAAGTTTTGTACATAAGCTATTCAAGATTTCTCCAGCACAGACTGGTAACAGCACAATGAGATGGCACTTCAGAGCAGCTTCCAAGGGTGAGATGGGTTGCAGATGGCTGCGTCAGCGGCAAAGACACCATCTTCTCTCTCTCCCCCTTTTGGAGGTAGGAGAGCACTAAGTTGTCACCTCAACACTGAGGGGCACATGGTCCATTGTGAGCATCCGGAAGGGGGTAGCGAGGAGACAGGTTTGGTCTTGGGGCTGGAGTTGAATGGTAGAGTGTTTGCCTAGCATGTACAAGACCCTGGGCACCAGAAAGAAGGGATGTCTCAGAGGTCTTATCGTCTTAATTTGGTCACATCTGATGGAAAAAGTAAAAAATAGTAAGAATAAAGTTGTTCAAAGATACCTAAAACTGAAATCTTCACAGCCCAGTTCTGGTTTTTGTTTTTAGCTAACTTCCTAGACTCCCCTTTCTATTTGGCTAGGACTCTGTACAGAGCAATGAGGTTTCCCACAGTGGAGTCTGCCTGGGCTCTGCTGGCTCTCAGTAAGGCAGGCCCATGTGTTCCTCCTCTATGGAGAGGGCAGTATGCACTAGGCTGAAAAGTTACCTTCCCAAAGTGAGAACGGAATTAAGATTAAGCTGCAGAATTACTTGGAATGTTACAAACGGTTGCTACAACAAAAAAGTAATTACAAATGTGTACATCACGACATGCATCAAAGACACTTTGCTTTGTGCTCACATTCCCTTAAATGCTGTTCCCAAAGGTGCTCCGCCCCTCCCAGCTGAACTCTGGGAAGAGGCGGAGACAGTTTGGTAAAAAGACATGAGGGGGTAGAGGGGGTGGCAAAAGGAGAAAGCAGCCTTCAGTTAAAAGATCAGCCCTCAGGTTCAAGGTCAGCTTCAGGCAGGCCGACCTCAGGCGAAGTTAGGGTCAGAGGGAGGAGCGGCCGCAAGGCAGGACTGGGGAGCTCTACATCTCGTTCAGGTCCAGCAGAGTCTGGTCCAGCATCCTTTGTGTACAGAGGTGTTCCTCTTTGGTGCACTTCAGCTTATCTAGTGGGGATAAAGGAGAATTACAGCAAGTAAAGTTCCACCTTTACCCATTCTGAGACTTGCTCCTGAAGATATGGACAATAAAGCGCTGCCTTCTCCACCAGACATGAGCTCTTGCATCACTGGGTTCTGTGGGGCTCTGGCTGGACTACTGAAGCTAAAAAGTTGCTCTACTTCCTAGAGGAAGGAGCTGAGCCTTATCAGCCACTTCCTCTCTCTCCCCCACACAAGCGGGCCTGAAGCATCAAGCACTCACTCTTCCAGGCTTTTTCCATAGCACATACCTACTTGAAATGGCACACTAGAGTGTGACCACTGAAAACAAGAGCAGGCCAATTTATACCAGAACACCAGACTCTCAAGGAAAAAGCACAAGACAACCCAATGCTCATGAACTATACACTTTATCCAAAAAGGGGAAAGGAACAGAGTCCTCAGTGACTCAAGGAAAAAAAGCCAAGAACACTGCCCAAACACACACTTGTAAGCCACACCTGAGATTTTAGCAGAGCCATCAACAGAGCTGGCCTGTGATAATTACTTTAAACATAAAAGCAGGCAAAGGCATCAAGAACGGACGCATCAGGAAGGACCAGTGGTGGGATATCAAGCATTTCATCTGCCTTCTGAGCAAACAGACCACTGAGTGCTCGGGAGGAAAGCACTCAAATCTTCACCTCACAGATGGTGGGTGACAGCGTCCCAGGCCCACTGCCACATCCCATTCCCTTCTTTCCCTTCCCTGTTTCCACCCAGTCAGAAGGGCCCATCCCTAAGCCTGCAGATGAAGCAGTTACAACATCTTGTCAAGTCAGTCTTTTTATTAGGAAACATCCATGCAAGAGAGCAAACCCTACAGTCAGTGCACAAGTGAGGGCAGCAGGTAAGGGTAGAGAGCAGATTCTCCAAGTTCCCCACTACATCTCCCAGGCCCCTTTCTTCGTTATCTGCAATCTCTTCTGAAAGACAGAAACTATTTAGCTGTTCCAATTTCATGGGGATGTCAGGATATCAACAGTTCTCCAACTGACCTAATTAAAAAGCAACTTGCTTAGGGCAAAATAACTTTTTAAAAAAGACAATCAGCTTTTCACTGGGGTCCAGGTCAGTGGTGTGAGCAGTGTGCTCGGTTTACTGGGCGTCAGGGAGCCCTGCCCCGTCAGTCACACAGATCATGCAGTGTTAGCTTCAGCTCATTAGAAAGCAGGCGGTTTCGCTCAAGTTGGCTGTAGAGGCGCTCTGCAGAGCAACAGAGAAGAGAGAAAGAGGAGAGGAAAAAACGGGAGGAGAAAGAGAAAAAGGGAAGGTTAGTAGAGCACCAGAGAAACGTCTTTCAACTAGCTGGTATACATAACATGCACGTATGGCAGAGGGGTGCCAGGGCTCAGGGCAGGAAGTCGGCCAGTTGGAAAGACCAATACAGTAAAAATTTCAGATTGATGTGCTGGTAGTACCACGTTTCAAATGTGAAAATACGTTTCCTTCACAGTATTTCCTGGGCTAAGAAACTGAGACAAGTCAAACAGGGCAAAGAGAGATACTATTGGAGGCACTCATAATGACCTGGGTTTGAAAAAAATTGAACCATTGTGCCGTTCCCCCTGTGGAATGATTTAACACGACACTATACATAAATATTCCTTCCACTCAATCCTGTATTTTCACTTTTTTTTTTTTTTTTTTTCTTGAGACAGGGTCTCCTTGTAGCCCCAGTTAGCCTAGAACTGTGTAGACCAGGCTGGCATTGAACTCACAGAGATCTGCCTGCCTCTGCCTCCTGAGTGCTGGTATTAAAGGCCTGTGCCACCACACCTGGCAATATGCTTTTTAAAGCTTTTTTTTGGGGGGGGGGGTTCTTTTTGAGACGGAGTCTCCCTGTAGCCCCAGCTGACCTGGAACTCACTATGTAGACCAAGCTGGCCTTGAACTCACAGAGATCCACCTGCCTCTGCCTCCCTAGTGTTTAGACTACAGGTGTGCACCACCACGTCCAGCTCGTATTTTATTATTTTTATTTTATGCGTATGAGTATTTTGCCTGCATGCATGTAAGTGCACATGTGGGCAATGCCCCTCAGAGGCCAGGAGGTGGCAGATCCCCTGGAACTGGAGTTAGGGGTGATTGTTAGCAGTCATGTGGGTTCTGGGAATGAACCTGGATCCTGTGGTAAACGTTCTTAATTTTGAGCCATCTCTCCAGCTCCTGTAAATGCTTCTTATAGCAGGCTTAAGAGACACACCTAAAAGTCCTATCCAATTCCTATCTGAGTTCCCCTTTTCTAAAAGAAACTCAACCTCTTATTAGAAGTAGCATGTCCAGTATTTAACCACTGGAAACCAAGTAAGACTGTTGGTTTTTCATCCTTCCTTAAAGCGGTGGTGCTCATACAATCCAGTTCAAGCCAGTGGGAGGTAGGGGAAACTGGAGCTTGTGGGCAAATTTTAGCTTTCTCTTGTCTTGAATATAAATGTGATGTCCAGATCTACTTCTTTCAATCTTGAGGGTCAAAGTGACTCTATCTTTAGTAGGCTACAGGTATTCATTTGTGGCAAGACTTGTTCATAATTCTGTCCCACTAAGCTTTTTTCTTATAGCCCAATACCAGTGTTAAGTAAGTGCTCAAGTCCACTGGCTCTACCTCGGTTTTCTACTTGGAACACACCGTAAGGAGGAAATGAATGATGGATGCTGCTGTATTTGTTTTGTTTTTTGCTTGTTCAGTAAGTTTTCTGTCGTTACGGAAAAAAATCTTCATAGGAAATTGCTTTAGCTCTCAGCAGCCCGTTCCTGAGCTCTGAGGAAGCTTGTCTTCTTTAAAAATATGGAACACTTCACAAATCTGCGTGTCATCCTTACACAGGGGCCATGCTAATCTTCTCTGTTATCATTCCAATTTTAGTGTATGTGCTGCTGAAGCAAGCTGTTTTGTTTTGTTTTTTAAGATTGTGTCTTTGTCCCACCATACCCAGCCATATATCCATTTTAAGCAAACTCATTCCTGGTCTACTTCTATCATCCCCTGAAGTTTCAAGTCTCTCCCCATGTTTTACAGCCCATTTCAAAATGAGACATGGTCTCATTTTAGAGACAGGTCTTGCTGTTTTCCCGAATAGCCCTAAAATTCTGTTTTTAAGCAGTCCTCCTGCCTCTGAGACTCCTCAGTGCTGGAACTATAGGGGTAAACCACTCAGTTAAAGCAGTGGTTCTTAGTAAGGGTAGTTCTGTCCATTATAGCCCCAGGAATATGGAAATTTGTAGTGTGTCAGGGGGTGCATTTTTGGGAGACAGAATCTTAGTATGTATCCCTGGCTGGCTTTGAACTTACTATAATCTTCCTGCCTCTGCCTAAAGTAGTGTGGTTATAGATGTGTGCCACAATGTTCGACTATAGGTTAAGTTTTGACTACCACAATGACCAGAAGGCTCTACAGACATTTACTGGCCAGGGAACAGCAATATGACAACATTCAGAATCATTCTGTCTGAGAATTACCCTATGCTTCAGCTTACCAGCAAAAAGCACAACAGAGTCAATGAGCTCCAAGAGGCTTGGCACCGGACCTCATTCTGGGGACATTCTTGACAAATACTAGGCATTCAAACTTGTGAATCTCACTGCATGTTTATCCAACCTCCTCCATATCCAACTTAGATTCCCATGTCTGTCTTGCAAAAGAAGGTATTCCCGGGATTTTGTTCCTTCTACCAGTCCATTCCACTTAGGGCAAACAATAAAGACTGTGAGCAATTTATTGCCTAATAAAGCCCAAGATAGAGTTCCTTAAAAATCATATGTAGTCAGAAACTAACTACAGTTTTCTCACCTTGAACTTAGCTTCCAACGGCTACTTCTAATGACTAAAACTTCAGGTCCTGATGTTATTAGTACATTAAAAACTCCTGGTTCCCTGATGACAGCAAAACAAAAAAGGCAAAGCAGGGGACCCACTGGCTCAGAATTAGAAAAGAATTCCAGGGATGGCTGGCAAGATGGCTCAGCAGATAAAGACACTTGCTATCATGCTTGACGACCTGAGTTTTATCTCTGGTGTCCTGCGCCATGTCAAACATGTACACCCACACATTACTTAAATGCAATTCAAAAAAGAATCCTACCAACAGAAGCTACCAGATAGATGCCTCTTATGTCTCACCTCCTATTCTTAGTTCATTCCTTTCCTTTTCTCCTCCCTTCCTCTCTCTTTCCGCTACTAAGAGGGGACTGATTGCAGGGCCTTGCACATATTCAGCAAATAATTCATCTGCATTCCTCAGACCTCTTTGTATTTTTATTCTAAGACCGCATCTTGTTAAATTCTCAGCCTGGCCTTCCAACTTCTACCCAGTGTCTAGAACTGTGCTGGACAACGGGCAACAGCTACATGTGATTAAATGTGAGTTTCATTTATTTAAAAATAAATAAAATTAAATAAATAAAATTTCAGTCTTATCATACGACAAATGCTTAACAGCCATAGCAGATAATGACTACTATACTAGAAATCACTACCAAAAGCTCTACCAGACAGAACCACTCTGAAAAGCTCAAAATTAACCCTCAAATTACTAGAGTCTCCTTGGGGCTAGAGAGATGGCCCAGAGATTAAGAGCACTCACTGGCTGCTCTTCCAGAGGACCTGGGTTCAATTCCCAGCACCCACATGGCAGCTAACAACTCTCCCTAACTCCTGTTCCAAGGGATCCAAAACCCTCTTCTGGCCTCTGCAGACTTTGCATGACACAGGTCCACTTATATCACAGGCCAAACACTCATACACATGAAATAAAAACAAATTGAACAAAAAAAAAAACTTTAATTACTAGCGTATCCCATGAGTACTCACTCTAGTCACCTTCTTTCCCAGTCTTACTGCTGGAAGCGAGCACTGGAAACCACCACCTCTTCTACTCATTCACCTTCTAGCCCTCCAAACACTTCCACCTGGATTCCTTTCCAACTAAGATTTTCCTTTTTATCTAACCCTTTTTGCATTTGTAATTATTCTTTATGGTGTAGTGTGTCTGCATAACTTAAACTGCTTGCAATCCTTTTGGATCCACAAATCTCTTCTACTTCTCACACACATGCTTCTCTCACCCTCAACATCCCAAACTATGGGATGTACGACACGACCCCCTACACCAGTCTCTAAACCAGGAACCTAATTTTGCTTCCTCACATTTAGTTGGCAGGCACCTCTTGTCAGGCCTGTTGGTAGTACATGTCTGTCCCAGCACTTGAGACAGGAAGACTGCCAAGTTTGAGGCCAGCCTCAGCTACAGAGTGAGACTGTGTCTCAAAAAACTAAATGAACCAATAAAATAAAAGGTCCATCTTTGAGAGTCACCTTCCTATAATCACCAGGCTAGCACAAATTCCAAGAATGCTCTGGAAACCCGCAGTCACCTAACCCAGCATTTCCCTAAGAGGACACAGTGCCTGGCTAGTAGTGCATGCAGTAGTGTCCGTTGTAGTCATGGCATCTACTCAGCACACCTCTGTGAACTTCAAATAAAACAAATCTAAAGCTGGCTGGGTGTGCTGGTGCACTCAAGAAGCAGAGGCAGAGGCAGAGGCAGGCCAATCTCTGTGAATTCAAGACCAGCCTGGTCTATGCAGTGAGTTCCAGGCCAGCTGGGGCTACAGGGAGACTGATTCAAAGACCAAAAACAAATCTAAAGCAAGAGTGGATTTGAAGAAAACATTAACATATCTAACAGGGAAATAGGCAGCCTCTGGATCATGGCATGCCAATGACAGAACTTGGTGTCACCATCGCTGTGCATCGCTCTGCTAATGTGTTTCCACTGTTTGTTTTTATTTATTCATCCATTTGATTGTTCCCTCCCTTTGTGAGACAGGGTCTCCCTGTAGCCCCAGCTAACCTGGAACTTGACAGGTACACCTGGCTGGCCTCGATCTCAGATATCTGCTGCCTCTACCTGCTGGGATTAAAGGTGTGCACCACCACATAGGGTTGCTTGTTTAATGTTTATTATTTATGTTTTGAGTGTATGAATGTTTTGCCTGAATATAAGTGCATCACAGGTGCAATGCCTGCTGAGGCCAGAAGAGGGCATCAGATTTCCCCTAGAACTGGAGGTAGGGGTAGTTGCTAGGAACCAAACCTTGGTCCTCTGCAATAGTAGTCAGTGTTCTTAACTGTTGAGCCATCTCTTCAGTCTATCCACCCCCAACACTTTTTTTGGAGACACTATGTAGCCCTGACTGGTCTGGAACTCAGAGGTCTGCCTACCTCTGTCCCCAGAGTGCTGGGATTAAAGGTGTATGCCACCATGATACAGGGTTTTGATCTTCCTTCCCTAGTCTCCCAAGTGCTAGGATTATAGGCTTGTCCACCAAACCCAATTTGACAATTATATTAGGGGAAACCACCTAGTTGTATCTTTCTTTCCCTTTCCCTGTCTTTTCCTCCCTTCCCTGGCCCTGTCATTCTTTCTTTCTGGTACTAGGGTTCAAACCTAGGGCCTTGTCAATATCAGGCAAGTGCTCTACCACTATGCTACATCCACAGCCCTGGATACTGAAAAGAAAAGCAGGTTTCAAATGCATACTCTGGGAAGAAACTGAAATATTACACAAGCCACACTTAGCTACACTATTGATGTTTAGCTATTTGCTGTGTAAACTGAACAGGAGTTTCTGTGCATACCAGGAAAAATTTCACTAGTAGTCCTCATCCTCATGCACATTATTTGAAATATGTGTGACTGGTTATTTTCCAATAATTTACTATATGTCTTATAACTCATTAGAAAATGCTAACAGGTAAATGCTAACAACCTCAAATATGTAAGGAAGATTTAAAGAAATGTCTGACTATTGAGAATTCAATCCATTATGTTATGTGTTTGTTTGTGACATAGGACAAAATTAGTTAACTGTTAAGAGTACTAACACACAGGCTTCCATCTGTTCTAAGGATGCAGTATTTGAATCATTGGTAAGAGAGTAGAGAATTTTTCTTTTCTTTTCTTTATTACTTCTTTTTTTGGCTGAGGAAGTTTGAACTGGCGCCAGGAAGCTGATCCATGCCTCTTGCGAGCTGGGGAGTCTTCGGTGGTGGTTCCTATACTGATGGGCTTGGTTGCTCTTTCTTCTTGGATTTGGCTAAAACCTGACAAAGATCAGTCACTTATGACAAAAGTTGCCATTTTCTTCTCAATTGTCTCGATCCATGTTGATATGGCTCGGCTCATTGATTTAACGCTGCTAACCATCTCCAGCATCCACTTGAAATTCTCCTGTCTTCAATTCAAATGATGTTATGCAGCTAACAAGACTAACTAGTAACAAGGTTTTGAGTTCTGATCTGCAAGGTGATTGAAGCTGAATCATGTTGCTTATTGGAGTTGTTGCTCTAAGATGTCTTGGTTCCATCCCAATACCTTCTTCTTCCCTTATCATTGTGATCACTTCATCACATTGCTCAGGGCTGATAATCTGATCATCGTCTTCTTCCACTAATGATAGGTCCTCTTCAGCTTCATCTGGATGTGGTAGTTCCGAGAGTAGAGACTATTTATTTAAGGAGACACTTTAACTGTCTATTAATCTTACTATACGGAAAAGGGATCAAAGGGGATGAAAACACTCCACACAGATGACTTATCCTTAAGAACCTGGAAATACTAAGGACAGTCTTTGAGACTTGAGGACCGACACTAGACTTCCTACCATGAGGAGCCTTTTGTAGTCCAACACTCGAGACTCTAATCAGCAGTTCCAATGTCAAGAAAAAAAAGACACACACAAAAGTAGCTTTGATTATATGTAAGTCAGAGAAGGGGGCACCTAGCACAGCTGCCCCCCACATCACACCCGCAAGACTTGTACCCCCATCCTAATGCTTTAGGGGCTAGCCAGGCTGACCCAATGGAATCCAGAGTGAGTGGGGCGCTGGGTTCCCCAAGATCCAGAACAGAGCAGAAATGATGAATTATCTGTATGAAAAAGTAAGGATACTCCAGGTGAGAAGGACTGGACCAACTGAGGCAGCGATTTGGGAGAAAGGAAAAGGGCAACAGGAAAAAGCCAGACACTGCAGTCTACAACATTTGGCTTCACTCAGGGTTAGTGGGAAGCGGAGGCAGACAGATTAGCATTAAGGATCAGGACCCACAGCAAACAGATAAAGTCTGCACTGTTTACTACTTGGCTGCTTCTGGGCCTCAGCTCTATTCTCAGATGTGGTACTGTTCACTACTCTGCTGCTTCACATCCTACGTATGCCCCATTAACATCAGTATCAGGGCACAAACCAAAACTTTGCTTTTCAAGACAAGATCTTGCTATGTGGCAGTAGCTGGCCTTGAATTTGCATCAATCCTTCTGCTTCAGTCTCCAGAGTACTAAGATTTCAGCTTTGTGCCACCATGCCTGGCTTTGAGAAACAAGCACGAAAAATTACACTAGAGAGCTGAGCACGAGGGAGACAACATGCCTGTAATCCGAGCGTTCTGGAGGGTGAGGAAAGATGATTTTGAGTTTGAAGCCAGCATGGCCTATACAATGAGACTCAAGTTAGAAACAGGGAGAGGCCAGGCATGGTAGCGCTCGCCTTTAATCCCAGTACTCAGGGTCTGGCAGAGGCAGGCAAATCTGTGAGTTCAAGGCTCACCTGGTCTACACAGTGAGTTCCAGGCCAGCTGGGGCTACAGGGAGACCTTGTCTCAAAAAGGACCCCGCCCCCCCAAAAAAGAAAAGAAATAGGGAAACAGAAAGTTACACCCAAGGTTAAAGGCCTTCCTAGCTTTCGCCAAACAAGTTACCAGCACCAATGTTTTCAAGAGTGCAGACTGCAGATTCCAAAGGACAAAACTGAAGCACACTATCAAAACCTGTACCCAACACCCACAAGCCAAGATCCCAACCCCACTCTGCTGTCAGATAGTTACATAGAGGTCATGTCATTGAGGGCGTGGTCCAGCTCCTCGCTAATGGCCTTGTACTTCAGTTTCTGGGCATAGAGCTCATCTGGACAGGTACAGGAACCACAGGGAGGAACGAGGGGACAGAGTGAAAGGTATCAGAAGGAGATATAAAGAGGGAATCATTAGAAATTAGGAAAAGTGTGACTCTAGGTCACACTAAAACTAGAAAAGCATCTGTTCTGCCAGCCATACTGGCCATTTTCAATCCACTTTGCCCAATGACCAACTTAACTTCCTGATGCCTCAGATTCAATTGCAACTAGAGTTGAGAACCCAGGCACAACCAGAGATACTAAAGACACCATACCCACCCAATTCCTACAGTGATAGCACCTAACAAAGACAGAAAAGGGAGGAAGTCCACATCCATAGCGACACTTCTCTGCCTACTACTTCAAGTGATGACTATTCATGGACCCTTTGCTCTAGGTTGCCTCCCCAAACCCTTTCAAAGAACATCTGCTACCAAGAGCCTATCCAGGGCATATGCTCAGATTTCTCTAAGCCACTCTCTTTCCCTTATTAAGGTGGACAGTTGCTGAACTGCAAGGATAAGAAAGCCCTGGCACTGGCCAGCTCTGAGACATGGTTATTCCACAGCTTCATATCCTAGAGGTGTCCCACACCTGGGAACAGTGAACAGAACTGCCTGAAGTGGCCACAGGGTGACACACAGTGTTGTGTCCACTAAAATAATGGCTTCCATTTCAGCTCAGAGACTAAAGACTTACATGACTATTAAATTGGAGGTAAATGCTGCAATTGCATCTTTTCAAAAGAAAGGAAATAAATTCCAGAAACACTAGGTATTCTTATTAAAGGAAAAGACTAAATCTAAAAAAAAATCCAATCCAGGTTTGACTGACTTTGCCAAGTATGGTATAGAACAGAACATATTACATATGCCAAGTCACTACCTGGTGGCAAACAGAGAAAAGGTTCAAGATTAACGGGCAAGGCCTTTGTCTCTCTCTAATCCCTCCCAGGCTCCATACCTTCCAAGTCATCAATGGTTTTTTCCAGTTTGGCTACCGATCTCTCAGCAAACTCAGCACGGGTCTCGGCCTGTGGAAATACGAAAGCAATCAGAATGAAATTGCTTCCTAATTCTAGACCTTTCAGAACAAAGCCAGTAAGTCTAAGTCCACATTAACACTTTGCATTCTTCTAAACGTTAATCCCCTCAGCTCACCTCCTTGAGTTTATCAGTAAGAATCTTTATTTCTTCCTCGTATTTATCTTCTTTTTGAGAGTACTGTTAAGAGAAATAGAATAAAAACGTCAAAGAAACTGGTCCAGATGATACCCACCTCCCTACATTTATTCTTACACAGATCACAGACACCCTCCCGGATGCAGTGAATGGTCCAAGACTCAGAGCAAGGCCCAGTTTTTGACAATAGATCCTTTAAAAATTCATCTATTTTCAGTCATAAAACTCACAGTAAACTCCATCAGGATGCTTTTTGTTTGTTTTGGTTAACAGACTAAGCTTTGATTTTACTCATATCAACTCAAAGTGTTTTTCCTTTCTCCAACTTAATCAGCAGGAATCTATATAAACATCCCCCAAAATGGCAGAATGGCCACTATCTTAACTGCTCATTAGTTCTCAAGAGCTGATGGATGACAGTCTACTCTGGTCCCTTATAACTTCCTTTTAGCAAAGCAGTATCAACTTGAGGAGCAAGTGACTCTAGGCACAGGAGACCACAAAGCTATTTTAATCAAAGAAGATAGGAATTAACATTAAACCCACAACTGATGGACAGCAAGTCAGGAGAAAGAGTACATTTCTCACAGGATTATAATGAATGGGGGTTTCCAGTCTTTCATCAAGGGCAGGGCTGGCCCCAGGTCCCAAAGCCTGTCATCTTCACAAACCAGCCCCTACCTTCTCCGCCTGAGCCTCAAGAGATTTGAGGTTGTTGGTGACATTCTTCAGCTCCTCCTCCAGCTCAGAACACTTACTGTGAATATTTTAAGTACCGCAGGAGAGAAAAGGGGAAGAGGAAGAGAATAAAAAAAAAGGAGAGAGACACAACAGATGTGAATTGAACCTATGTGTAGAGAGAGCTGAAAGGCATTATCAGGGAAGAAAAGTCCCTAGGTGACCTGAGCAAGCATCAACCCTCCTCCCTCTACCATGGACTACGTATGCCAGGAGCTGGACCTCCTATGCTCAGAATGTTTGACTACTAATAAAGAACACTGGAGAGAAGTTGCTACCAGAAACAATCACAACTGCTTCTTAGGGTGGAAGAAGAATGGATGCCCAGCCCAAATAATCCCCCAAATCACCCAAGGGATGAAGATACCCTTGGGGAACAGGCAGGAAGCAATTAGGAAAGAAGAGATGAAAGATGCCAAGTAAGTGGAGAGGAATGGAGCATTCCATGAAGACATGAGAAAGCACTCAACAAACCAACGGTGGAGGGGAGGCAGCTGCAAACCAAACCAAACCAAACCAAACTGTACAACGCACGAAACTTCTGTGGGCTTAATGGTTAGTACCTTTTCTTCAGCAGCACTCAGACACTTCAGGTTCTGGTCCATCAGTCTGATTTGCTCATCCATCTCTCGGCAACGGCTGTTAGTGACAGTCACGGGAATGGCACAAGCCAGGTTGTGGGGAGAAAGGTCAAAAAGGAACACAGCAAGAAAACAAGCAGCAAAATGGGGGGGGGGACAAAAATTAAAAATGGGAATACAGCACCACCATGGTCATGATATGTCATGTCTGGAAAGGGAATGCAAGGGAAACACACATGCACTATGCTGACTTTGTTACACAAGGCCAAGAAGGTACCAATGTGAAGCAGGTAATTTTTGCCTATGCTCTAAAGTTCCCCTGCAGATTGGCAAAGCAGTAAAAACAGAGACTTCTGATCTTAAGTCAGAACAGGTCAAGGAGAAAGAGGTTCCAAGTAGAGGGACCCAAGAAGGTCTTCCAATGAATTGTATGCCATTACTAGTCTCTACATTCCCCCAATTTGATAACCTTCCCAAGAAGAAATAAGCAAGCCTTGTTACCTGCTACTAGTCAAGATAAGAGTCCAAAGCTGCTCTTAGATTCTAAGATTCTAAAACAAGCACTGCTGATGACTCCCATCCCTCCCCCTGGCCCTGTTTAACAAGGTTGAAGGAATGCTAGTTTAGTAGTATTAGAGACCAAGCCAAAGGGACAGAACGGTAAAAAGGTTTGGAGATAAGATACTCACGACTCTGCCAGCTCAGCCCGTTCCTCGGTGCGTTCCAAGTCTCCTTCAATAATCACCAACTTACGAGCCACCTACAAGAAAAGAACCCTGTGCAGCCCAAGGAAACAGATAGAGCTTGATGTCACTGAAGAGAGGGACATGCATCTAGAAGGTAACTTACCTCTTCATACTTCCTGTCTGCCTCCTCTGCAATGTGCTTAGCTTCTTTTAGCTGGATTTCCTGGAGTTCCATCTTTTCTTCATCTTTTAGAGCCCGGTTTTCAATAACCTTCATACCTCTATCAGAAAGAGCACGAATGCAACACTGACACTCTAGAGTGTGCCAGCTCCATTTTAAAGTCCAGTCCTCTATTTGCCACCAAAATGGAAATCTCATTGAGCATTCTTTAATTTATGGCTGATTTAATTTAAATTTTCTTCTTATAAAACTAATATATCCTGGGGGCTAGAGAGACGGCTCAGCAGTTAAGACAATGTTCTTGCAGAAGACCCAGGTTTGAATCCCAGCACCCACATGGCAGCCAACAACTGTCCATAACTCTAGTTCCAGGGGATTTGACAGCCTCTTCTGACCTCTGTGGTCACTGCACAACATGGGTGCACTTACCTACATGCAGGCAATATACGCATACACGTAAAAAAAATAAAAATAAAATATTTTTTAAAAAAGACAAAAAACAGCTAATACATCCTTGGGGCTGGAGCTCAGCAATTAAGAGCACTAGCTGTTCTTGCAGAGGGCCCGGGTTCAGTGTCTAGCACCCACATGGCAGCTAACAACTACTGATAACTCCAGTTCCAGAGGATCCAATGCCTTCTTCAAGCTCCTACAGGCATTGTACACATGGATACACTTACATACATGCAGGCAAAACACCTATACACCTAAAAAATTTGTTAATTTTTATTTATTATTTTATGTGTATGCGTGTATTGCCTGCATGTACATAAATGCACCTGTGTCATGCAATGCCCAAGGAGGTCAGAAGCTGTCAGATACTCTGGGACTGGAGTTACAGTTGTTAGCTGCCATGTGGGTGCTTGGGATATGAACCCCGGTCTTCTGCAAGAACAACCAGTGTTCTTAGCCGCTGAGCCATCTCTCCAGCCCACACATAAAATTTTAAAAAAAATTTAATTGTACCCTGGCATGGTGATGCATGACTTTAATCCCAGCACACAGGAGGCAGAGGCAGGTGGCTCTCTGTGAGTCCAAAGCCAGCCTGGTTTACATAGTGAGTTAAACAAAACAAAACAAACAAACAAACTAATACATCCTGGGCTCGAAATATAACTTAATAATAGAACATTGGCCTAGCATATGCAAAACCCAGTTTGATCCCTGGCACTGCAGAGTTATAATATTAATATAGAAGTCACCACTATTCAATGAAAACAGATCTGGCGCCTGGGGGTATTGTTCACTGGTAGAGGGTGTGCTTAGTATAAGACCCTGGGCTCAATTTTCAGCTCCAAGAAACAAAAACCAGGTCCAGAGCTGGATGTGGTGGTACAGGCCTATAACCCAAACACTTGGGAGGTAGAGACAGGAAGATCAAGAATTCAAGGTCAGTCTGGGCTACATGAAACCCTGTTTCAAAACAAAAACAAAACAAAAAAACAGGTCTACAGGGAAATCTAGGTCAGAGCCACCTTATTTGCAGTGCTGGGGATGGAATGCAGGGCCTCGAACATGCTAGACAAGTATGCCACCACTGAGCTGTGCTACTGCCCCATGAACTTCTTTGGAAATTCACAAACCACATACCTCTCACTCTCATCAGCAGCTTTTTCTGCTTCCTCCAGCTTCTGCAGGGCAGTGGCCAGGCGTTCCTGAGCACGGTCCAGCTCCTCTTCAACCAGCTGGATCCTACGGTTCAAGGAGGCCACCTCGGCTTCAGCCTGTATTTGAATGAAAAAGTGGAATGGTGGAAAGAACCAACTGTGACAGTAAAACTAGGACTGACTACCATGAAGAAGCTGGAGTCTAGTGACAAATCCTGTCTTGGCTCAAATGCTGAAAAATCTAATACATAATTATACATCAATTTCCTTCTTTCCCATCAAAGAACTCTTATATGTTCCACATGAAGAATGTTTTGGGGGCTCAAAGATGGTACAGTGGTTAAGAGCACTGGCTGCTCTTGCAGAGGACCTAGGTTCAGTTCCCAGCACCCACAGGGCATTGCACAACTGTCTATAACTCCAATTCCAGAGGGTCTGATACCCTCTTCTGGCCTCCACACTCATACACACAATGTTTTTAATTTAAAAAATAAATAAAAATTCAGTTCCTCGTTCAGACACCTGACAACATTACCCACTTTCTTCTGGATACAATTCCAATTCCTGAACACAAAAGCAGCCAAGGCCAGGCATGGAAGCACACACCTTTAATCCTAGAACTAGGGAGGTACAGGCAAGTGAATGAATTGCTGTAAGTCAGAGGCTAGCCTGGTTTACCTAGCTAAGTACCAGGACAGCCAAGACCACATGGTGAGACCCTGTCTCAAAGAAACAAGATGTAGCCAGAGAAGACAGAAGCTGGGAGCTACTATCCCATGCTTAGCCAACAGATACCTTTCCCTGGCCTTGAACTCTTCCTGTCTTCACATCTTAAGTGCTGGGCTTACAGGCATGTGCCACCATGCCCAAGAGGAATACTTCTTTCTTTCTTTTTTTTAAAATATTTTATTATTTTTATGTGTATGAGTATATTGCCTGCCTGCAGGTAAGTAAGTGCAGCCATGTCGTGCAATGCCCACGAGGACAGAAGAGGCTGTCAGATCCCCTGAAACTGGAGTTACAGACAGTTGTTAGCTGCCATGTGGGTGCTGGTATTCGAACCCGGGTCTTCTGCAAGAACAACCAGTGTTCTTAACTGCTGAGCCATCTCTCCAGCCTGAGGAATATTTATTTAAAGAATTTTGGATTACCTATTAATTTGCTGGTTGATTTTTTAACCCTCTCATTACCGTATCCTAACACACCAGGAGGATGAGTAACTATGTGAATGTCTTTCAGAACAGCTTTTCAGACTGGAAAACAATAGAATCCAAGATGGGGATGTAGGTCTCCCACCCCTTCAGTATTTTCCCTCACCCCCTGGACAAGAAAGTTACCTCTGGCTAAAATGATCAGTTTTGACAACATCATAAAAACAAACATGGACAGAGAGAATGCTTGCACCTACTGCCACTCCTCCATTTCTGAACTTTCTATTCCTCTAACAATCTCCTAAACTGCACTGAACGTCAATACAATTTATGACAATCTCCCTGGCTTTCACGCACAACAACAAAGTACAAATTCAAGCCCAAGTGACCCATGTACTGGCCATGGTATAAGAAACCAGAAAGGTGGTAACATGAACACAGTAGAATAGGCTCCTCATTAGTGTGATGGTGCATGCCTATAATCCCAGCACTCAGGAGGCTGAGACAGAAAGGTCATGAGTTCATGGCCAGCACACAATGCAGTTCAGATACTTACATCCAAGTGCCAGGTAAGTAGGAGTCATCTACAACTCATATCGTGCCTGAATTCTATTGCCCTAATTTCCTCTTAGCAGGCAAGGGTGGTGGCAGCTAAAGAATCTGGGCCACTAGCCCTATGGGGAAGTCCAAAAGATGCCTGTTAACAATCAAGATTTAGACAAAAATTTCCACCAGCATAGGAGGTTCACAGGACTGGGAAAGAAGGCAGGAGGCTAGGGTACAAGCTAACTATCAGGACACAGGAAAAGGAAAGTGATAAGTCTACATAAACTGAAATTACTAACAATTTGTATTTCTAACTAACTATTCAGACCACCACAAAGACAAGTAGTATGCTCTGGTTCCGTGTTTTCCAAGAAAACAGATGTCTCCTAGGACAACACAGATTCATCCTCACAAACCTAACAAGACCAACCAGGTAAGAGCAAGCCAGGCTTTCAGGCAGACTGTGAACCACTGGCAGTCCTAGACAATGCTCTACTCCATGTCAATGCCTAAAATCAAAATAAGAAAAAAGCAACCTGACTTGGAGGAAGCACATGAAATCTAAGTCCCCATCCAGCTCTGAGAAAAGATAACAAGCTGTGGGGGCAGGCTGAAATTTCCGTGACAACGAGCTGGCTCAGGCATTTTCTCCAAAAACCAGCCATTTGTAATAGAATTCTTTACAAGGGTGAAAAAGGAGGAAGAGAAAATACATAGTGGTGTCCTTTCAAGAGCAAGCCTGTATCAAAAACAGAACCCAAAGGGCTGGAGGTGGCGGCACACGCCTTTAATCCCAGCACTCGGGAGGCAGAGGCAGGGGGATCTCTGAATTCAAGGCCAGCCTGGTCTACATAGCGAGTTCTAGGCCAGCTGGAGCTACAGGAGACCCTGTCTCAAAAAGACCAAAAACCAAAACCAAAACCAAAAGAACCCCCACAGAACCTAAGATGAGGGTCCCTGCAAAGCTTCAGAGACCCAGAGGGCAGTGAGGATACTGCTGTCCCTTTCCTCCTCCTTCTCCCACAGATCAGCTCTCTTCACAAACAAAAGCCTGAAAAATTAAGATCTTATACTACATTTAAAGGAATAAGGAAGACAATTTGGCTTTGACTTTAAACCAGAGCTTACATTGATCACTCATCCCATTCAGATCAAGTACCAAGAAATTGCCAACCTTTTGCATGGTAGCCTGATCCTGGGGAAGACTCACTTTATCCTTTTCTGATCATCTTAGGTTTTATTTAGCACACAAGGCCAGTAGAGGTTTGGGCTGTTCAGACTGTCTACCTCTGCCCAGCTTAGAGGATACAATGGGAAATCCTTCCCTTTAGTAATAATAGGATTCTCCACTGCCAAGAGGCAAAGACCATGGGCTGAGGGTGGAGTGTAGCAGCCATTTGGTCACGTCAGAAGAAGGCTGACAGAAGCTTTGGTTATGATGTAGGTGGAGTTTAAATGCTACCACTGAGGTCTCTGTACGGCTTAGTGAGTAAAGGTGCTTGCCAAGGAGAGATGCAAGTCCAATAGGAAAGAATTTACAAAGTTGTTTTCTGACCTCCATACATGTGCCAGCATACACATTATCATACACACACAATTACGGGGTCAAGGACGGAGGGGATAGTCTAAATCTGGCATTCTGCCACTGTGGTTTCTCTTCTTAGATAAAAGCCACAAGTGTAATTTGAAAAAAAGATCTCATTAGAAAAGTGAGGCCTCAGCTCTGAGGAAAGGACTGCTAGAGTACACTATGTCCATCCGCCTCTCCCAGGGGGCTGAACAATGGATACTGTGTCCTTAGGGAATTTCAGTTTTACCAGGGGGTTGGAAAGTTGGGAGGACTTATCAGCTGGCCCAGAGCAAACAAAGGTGGAGTCTAAGCTGAGATACTTAGAGCAAAGGGCTGTTTGCCTCTCCTGTAGCAAGTGTGCTCTGGAATGGGGTCAGAAAAAGGGAGGCAGTGGCCAGTCCAATCTAAACTCTAAACTGGAGAGGTGATACTGCCTGTCCTCTTGTCCAAACCCACCCACCGACTTGTCTAAAATCTCTCCCCAGACACTAGGAATTTGGGCTTCAGGCCAGAATCAGAGCCACTGGTCAAAGCCCACTCTCCTCCCTCAACAGTTCTCCTAAGGTTTGAGACCACAGCAAAAGGAAAAAGAAAAATACTACAAGAAGTTAGGAGAAGTAGTTTAAAAACGTAAGATGAACTGTCTACTTACAAAGGGTTACAATGGAGCCCCTGTCATGGTAATGAGCACAGGTATTTCAGAAGCTGAATCACTTGAGCCCAGGAACTCAAGGCTAGCCTGAGCAGGTAAATTTTAGTGTTAAAAATCCATATTTTTAATCACCACCAATAAACAGGGTACAGATTGTGTAACATGAGTAAGGCCTGATCCCCAGCACTACTGAAAAACAAACAACAAAAACCAATAAAAACCTTCTTACACAAATACAAAGGAAACTCAAATGCAAAGTAGATTTAAGGAGGATGATGCTATACTATAAAGGTCAATCTCAAAGCCAAGAGCAGGAAGGACTGATCTCAAAACAACTGTCTCAGCTCTGGTCTCATCCAACTTAGTGACAGGGCAGCTTGGATGGCCATACAAAGTAAGTAGAAAAATGCTTGACCGCCTACTAATGTAACAGCATGGGACAGCATCAGTGAGGCTGAGCTCCTGAGCATCCAGCCCTAGAACAGGTGCCTGCAAACACCACATTCCACAACACCCTAATAGAACAGGCAGCCTGAGCATGCTCCCTTCCCACAGTATCTCCTCACTGGGGCTCAAAGTTCATCAGAGCAGAAAGTCAAGCATAGGCTCTCAAGCTCACAAGGGAGATACTAGTTTCAAAGTTTAACCACCACCTCACTTCCCCATTCTGAGGACTTCCTCCCTAGACTTCAACTCAGTAAGCATATTTGGTAAGCTCTGAGGGAGTAGCTTACCATGTGAGAATGCTCACACTGGTACTTATCACCTTAAGAGTCACCAAGAGTAGGGAAAAGAAAAGGCCAAATTTTCCCACAAGGAAACAGACCAAATTCTGGGACATAAAGACACACCTCTGCCTACCTAAAAACACTGCTTGGGTACCCACTCTTCAACAGGAAGTCTAAGATGCTGCCGCACAACAGGCCATGTCCTTCTGCTAAACTGTCTTCCTCTTTGAAAGAAAGCCTTCTATCTCTAGAACACAGAAGACAATCTCACTTGAAGCAGAAGCTGCTTATGTGCCAGGAGTGCTGAAGCATGTCTGTAATCCCAGCACTTGGGAAGCTTAGGTAGGACTGCTTAGGAGTTCAAGGCTAGCCTGGACTACATAGGAAGATCCGTCATCTCAAACAAAACCAGGTTGCTGCCATACTAGACACACAGAAATAGATGAGAAGACAAATTCTTACATCTTATG